TGTTGAGTATGATTTTTTATGTAAGGCTATCTATGATCTGTTTTTCTGGCATTAGGCAGAGAAAAAGAACATTTCACATGCTCCTTCCCATTTAATTCCAGCAACTGTAAGGCAAGTACTTTTAGGACTCCAGTTTTGAATGAGTAAATCAACACACAGATTAAGTAGTCTACCAAAGATAAAGCAGAGAGTAAGTGGTTTTTTGACTCCAAAATCCATACTCTTAACCAATATAGAGTATCTTGTGCTTGGAAGAAAACAAAAAGACAAAAAGCTCTGACCACAGAGCCATGCATAATTCTAAAATCCTCTTGTTCTTAATAATCATTAAATTCACTGAAATTCTTGATTCTAGTGAGGGAAGGGCACATGATACTTCTGCAGGCTACTTTAAAAAATTCCATTAGCCTGAAATAGTCAACTAGAAAATTACCTTGTAAAGTATATGTGCAGGTTAACAAGAAAAACAAAACAAAACAAAAAAACCCCTCTTTTCAGAGATAACAACTGCATCATTTAATATACAATTAAAACCATGAACACCAGATAAATGTACAAAAATTTTCAGAGGTTGAAATTCCATTCAACATTTCAAAGAAGTGACCAAGGCTCAGCACTCCTTCTGGGTAATAAAAATTACATTTAGACAGAAGCTGAATTCATTTTGTCCTTCCTAAGGAGCTCTTGTGACGTCGTGCCCAAGACACTTGACTGCTAACCAGAAAGCTGGTGGTTCAAACCCACCAGCCAGTCCTCGGAAGGAAGACTGAGCAATCTATTTTTGTAGTGATACTGCCTTGGAAACCCAAGGAGGGGTCGCTATGAGTCGGATCCAACTTCAAGGCAGTGAGTTTGGTTTGGTTTTTGGAACTAGCACTGGTGGCACAGTGGTTAAAGCATTCAGCTGCTAACTGAAAGGTCAGTGGTTCAAACCCACCAGCCACTCCATGGCAGAAAGATAAGCCAGTCTATTTCTATGAAGATTTACAGCAGTTCTACTCTGTCCTATAGGAGCTCTGGTGGCATAGTGCCTAAGGCATTTGACTGCTAACCAGAAGGCTGGTGGTTCAAACCCACCAGCCACTCCTTGAAAGGAAGATTGGGCAATCTACTTCCCTAGTGATCATGCCTTGGAAACCCAAAGAGAGGTCACTATGAGTAGGATCCAACTTGATGGCAGTGAATCTGGTAGAATTATTTTGTCCTATGTTGTTGTTGTTGTTATGTGCCGTGGAGTCGGACCCGACTCATAGCGACCCCTCCCTGGGTTTCCAAGGCAGTATCACTACGGAAGTAGATTGCCCCATCTTCCTTCCGAGGAGTGGCTGGTGGGTTTGAACAGCCAGCCTTCTGGTTAGCAGTAAAATGCCTTAGGCACTAAGCCACCAGAGCTCCTGTAAAGGTATAAAGATTAGGATTAAAAGTAATTGGAAGAGTTAGCCTGAAGAGATTTTAAATATAGAATCTTTTACTAGGTTGAGTTCTCCCCCTAGTGGAATTTGAAAATGATCTAAGATATTTCTATTACAAGAATAATCTAGGAGCTCTGGTTGATAATCTAGAATGTATTATTCTTATAATTGATAAAGAGGAGCTCTGGTGGCATAGTGCCTAAGGCATGTGACTGCCAACCAGAAGGCTAGCGGTTCAAACCCACCAGCCACTCCTTGGAAGGAAGACTGGGCAATCTACTTCCATAGAGATACCGCCTCAGAAACCTAAGGAGGAGGGATCGACTCAACAGCAGTGTTTGCTTTTTTTTTTTTCTGTGTCAGATTTAAGCATCTATTTTTGGATCTTAATCTTCATTTAATAAATAAATAAATAAATGAATGAATGAAAAAAGAACCATTCAGATATTCACTAAATGTATTAATAGTAAGTTAGCCAATGAACATTTCTAAGTTCTGAAGTATAAGAAGATAAGCATTAAAGGCAAAGGACCAGGAGGGTACAGACAAATACAGCATTTTTAGGAAGAAAAAGCAACATGTAAAAAAGTACAGAATCTTGAAAGAATATGAAAGCTGCAGTACAGAATAACTGAGATGGTATGGAACAGAGAGAGTATGTGTTTATGTGTGTGTATAGCAGGGAGGTAATGTTGAGAGATGAGGCTAAAAGTGCAGGTTTGGGTTATAGTGATAAGATAAATATTTTATACTAATAAGTTCCTATGTAATTTAGTAGGTAAAACATAAAAAGCAATAAAAGTTTTTATGTTTTAGAACAGTAACTTAGCTCTGTGGAAGAACTGAGACTGGAGAAAAGGAAAGTGGCTGGGAGATTACTGCCACTATTCTGGTAATAGTTCAGATGGGAACAAGAGGCAGAATAGAAATGCTTTAAAAGATTTTAAAAAGTAGTTTTTGAAATGATTAAAATTACCCTTTGGTTTTAGATTTACTCGAGACTTTTCACTGCTGAAGACTGGACAAGACATTTTAACCTATATGAATTATTAAGGATTATCTGAAGACAAATCTACATGATTAAGTGACCAGGTAGAATGTTGGTTACACTATAAACTGGTACAAGCACTTTGGAAAATAATTTGGTACTATCTAGTAAAGATGAAAATTTGCACACCCTATCTATATATCCTGCTATGCCAGAGAGTGAGAAGAAAAGTAGAGTTCCTACAAGGACAAGCAGTTGGAGAGAAGATGATGACATAATCAAGATTTGTGATCATAAAAAAAAGAAAAAGAAGAAGGTGGAAAATATTTTGGACGGAATAGGATTTTACACATGGTGAATCTGAAGTGTCTGTACAACTTTCAGGTTGAGCTATCTAGGATAGATATCTAGAATAGACAGCTTTTTAAAATTATTGGTCTATTTATTTAAAAAAAAAAAAAGAGAGAGAGCAAGACAAGTCAGAGAGATACAAGACAACACATAACATCCATATATGAAGAATAACACATCCATAAGAAAAAGACAACTTGATAGAAAATATAAACAGGAGATCTTAACAGGCACTTCATGGAACAGGAAATCCAAATTAAAACCATGACGAAATATCACTACCTACCCACCAGACTGGCAAAAATTAAAACATCTGACACCACCAAGCATTGGGGAGGATATGGAACAACATTCATATGCATTAGTTGGGAGTTTAAATGGTCCAAGTACTTTGGAAAATAGAGAAGTTGAAGATTTGCATGGTCTATGACTCAGCAATTCCACACCTTGGCATATATGCTAGAGACATTTGCACAAAAGCCATCAGTACAGTATATAAGAATGTCCATCATCATAGCATTGCTCATAACAGCCAACTCAGAAATTTCCCAATGTCTGATAGTCTAATAGGAGCTCTGGTAGCATAGTACCTAAGATACTTGACTGTTAACCAGAAGGCTGGCGATTCAAACCCACCAGCCACTCCTCGGAAGGAAGGTTGGGCAATCTACTTCTGTAGTGATATTGCCTTGGAAACCCAAGGAGGGGTCGCTATGAGTTGGGTCCGACTCGATGGCACACAACAACAATAGTCTAATAGAATAAATATGTTATAAACTCATACAGTATATACAACAGTAAAATGATGACACTTAAGAAGCATAATGTTGAAGAAAGAAGGAAGAGAGGCAAAAGAAAATATTAAACATGATTATATAAAATTCATAAACAGCTAAACCGTATGGATCACAGATGCATACAAAGATGGCACAACTATGAGTAAAAGCAAAGAAGTGATTTCTATAAAAGTCAGGATTAGGAAGCAGGGTGTGACTGGGGAGATATCTGATGCACTGGTAATATTCTCTATCTTGCTATCTTGCTCTGGGTAGCAAAAAGATGGATAATGTTCCTATATATATTATACTGAACCACTGTTTTGTGAACTTCTGTTTATTATGTTGTATAATTTCTAAAAAGAGGGTAAAAAGTATTGGTCAGGTGAAATATGCTCTATCTGGAGGTACACTGAGAGTCACGATGTAAAAATGGCTCTGAAGTCATCTAAGCGAGACCCTTCATTTAAGTACAGATTTTTAAAAAAGCCCAAAACTTGGAATACAAACATTCAGAACCGATAAAAATGACTGAAAACACAAAAACAAAAAAGAAGAGAATCAAACGTGAGTGCAGTTAGGAAAGGCAAAGGAGGAGAAAATTCAACCACAACAAACGCCATATCTCAATCAGGATGAATACTGAAAAGACCACTGGATTCCGCAAATAGGATTCCAGTGATCAATTTCTTAAAAGCCATTTGCTGTTAACATACTGCTGGAGACAGTAAAAATTCCTTGTATTTTCTTATCTACTTTTCAAAAATTATGTGGCACATGTTAAATTTTATTTTAAACAAAACATGAAGCATGCTAAGGTCTTCATTTTACTAAGTATTTCAGACTCAACAAAAAGTGATTTAAAATCCAGCTATTTAGTGGCAAAATTTGGTAATTTTCTTGAAATTAGAAAAGTATACAAAACTAAAACTGCTATGATCGTATGATTTAAATAACTGATTATAAACATATTATACAGTTGGTCATTCCTGATGTTTTTCTGAATATGTGCTACTTTATGAGAAATAATACCAATAGAACATAAAAGAATGCTTTTTTGGGTAAACTTATTAAAGTCATAATGTACTGTGATTACTTTTGATCCACATTAAAAGATAAGACTATAATATAACATGTAAGCCTTGGAAATTAACTGAATTTTAGATAAAACTTAAGGACAAAAGTACATTTCAGGTGGAGAGAATATTCTAGATGCTGAAGTAAAAACTGTATTGTGACTTGAATACAATATAATCAAAAACTTTTTTTAAAAATATAAAATTCTAAACATAATACTTTGCCTATCTAAGAAACTTACTACATGTACCATAGTGTACAATAAGAAGTACGTATGATTAAGAAGTGAAAATGATTCAGTCAGTAGAATGAAGACATAAGTCATTGTTCAGGTACAGAGGAAATGAAAAGCTATTATAATATTTTTACATGTACTTTAATATTTTCATATGTTACCTGGATTTCAAGCTCTGCAATGTGTTGCTGCAGTTCAGCCACAGCAGCTATGCTATCTGCTTCCCGAAGTCTCACAGCCATCACTTCTTCCTTGTTCTAGGATGGCAAGCAAAACAAAACAATAATAAACCAACAGTTGGTGACAAAACATAAACACTTGTAACCTGTTTCAAACTCAGAAAATGACAAAGAGACCTGCTATTAAATGAAAACAAAAAAAGAGCTAATATAAAAGGAAGTCTGTACATACAGAACGGAATTTCATTTTTTAAGTAATCAGAGATGTCACTTCATATAACCACATATTGCTCAAAATGTAAAAATTAAAAATCAATTAATCAAAACTAATTGGTGAATGTGAAAACTGTTGACTATTTATTTATTTAAATTGTGATTTGGGTGAAAGTTTACAGAGCAAATTCACTTTCCATACAGCAGTTCACATACACTGTCTCATGATACTGATCACAATTTACCCCAATTTAACAGCTCCCCTCCCACTTCCTCCCGATAGTTACCTCTTTCCCGTGTCCATCCCTCCATGCACTCCTGCCCCCTGAGCTGTCTCCATGTGCATAAACAGCCCCAGTTTCTCCCATGATTATTCTCTCCAAGGAGTGTATCTACTGCAGGCAAATGTTCCACTCATATGCCTATCTTTTGTTTGGCTGGAAGCCACAGGTGTGGGTTCAATTCCACACCTGAAGGGCAGCTAGGGGCCAAAGTCTTCTAACAGGCTCTATCAGACTAGCAAATTTGGTCCCTCCCCGCCCTCCAAATGATTCTAAGTTTTGTTCCACATTGTTCTCTCTCTCTATCCAGGATCTCCTACATAGATCCCCCTCCAAGTGATTGACAGTGAAGCAGGGAACCATCTAGTTCTTCTGGTCTCACAGTCATATAGGCTGAGGATTGCATGGTGTACCAGTCGCTTGGACTAATTGTTTCCAAGAATCTTTGGTTTTTCTTCATTTTTCTTTGCTCTGGATGAGGAGAGACCCATCATTGCATCTAGATGGCCAATTGCAAGCTTCTAAGATCCCAGTCGCTACTCGCCAAAGTAGGACATGGAACAATGTTTTGTGTAATATGTTATGCCAACTGAGCTTGATGTCCCCTGCGACTATGGCCCTGAACTCACAGGTTCAACTACTTGCTCTCTCTGGGTAGCTGCCTGTGGCCAAGAAGTGACTACAACCTTGTCCCTTGTCAGCTCTACTACACACCTAGGAATTCTTACAGAACATACAAATA